CCGATTCCTTATAGAACCCCCAGAGTCCCTTCTCTGTCCCTGGAAGCCCCACCCTCACGTTAGCCCTGTGTTCCCGCTCCCTGGCCCTGCTGCCCATGGTCATACACAGCCTGCGTACCTTTATCTTCAGGGGTGTTGGCGGAACCAGAGCGGAAACGAGAGACAACAAAAATGGTTCACTAACAAGGTCAGCCACCTCTCCCTCCAGGAGGCCAGGAGCCTTGGTCTGTGGAGACACTAGTGGACCCTTTTAGGTCCCTGTTGTGAATCCTGTGAGCCTCAGGGGGTGGCATGCAGCCAGTGTGCTAGCAACAAGTCTCTGCCCCACACCTGACTCTTGCCATCTCTCTTCCAGGTTCCTCTCTGACATTTCCTTGCTCTTACCTCTCCCATTAGGCTTAGCACAGCCACCAAGGTGTTCTTTGGAACCCAGCCGACCCCTGTGGCACCTCCCTTATCACAGTCCTGCTCTGACCTCCAAGTTTAGTGCTTGTCTTATTGCTTCCTGTGCCCCTCCTTCAATCTGTCCCTCCCACTTCACTAGGCCCCCCACATCTAGACCCACCCCTGTCTCGGGGCATCTGCACCTGCTGGCTCTTGTGCCTGGAAGCACCTTCATGCTTCTCTTTCCTCTTTCAGGGAGCCTCCCCAGGCTTCTCTTCCTCAGGGTACTCAGTGCCTCAGCAAGTGTGTTTTCCTGGATATTATCTGTGTCCCTATAGAAAGTCAGCCCTGTGGAAGCAGGTGCTATCTGTCTCCTTGCATACTTGGGTCCCATTCTCTGTGCAGGGCTAATGGATGCATAGCAGACCCTCAAAAATTCTCTAAATGGATTAAAAATAAGGAGTTTAGCATCTCATGAGCAGAGCCACCAAGGGTGATCATAGCTAACTATGCCACCCACCTATAAGTACATACTGTGTGCTAGACATTTCGCCTTGACAATTATTCTGCCTTTTTATTTTTATTTTTTCAGTTCTAGGTATGGAACTCAAGACCTCATACATGCTAGGGAAATGCTCTACCACTGAGACATATCCACATTTTGTTTGTTTTTCATTTCAAGACAAGATCTCACTATATAGCCCAGACAGGCCTTGGGTTCATGACCCAGCTATCTCAGCCACCTTAGTACCTGAGACAGTAAATCTGTACCACCATGCCCTAATTTTTGTTCATGTTTGCATCCTATACATAGGTGCTAACATCACTACTGTCTTGCAGACTCTGAAACTGGGATGCCCAGGGTCTCCAAGTCCAGAAGAATGGGCTCCAAGCAGTGCCTGGTGAACATACACTTAGTATGCATAGGGCATTGTCTCTGGTTAAGTCACTTCTTCAGGAAGAAGTTTTGGGGAGAAGGGGCCCCAGCTCCCACAAACATGACACCTGTAGCCTCCTCTGTTAGCATCCACATTCAGTCTGGTGCCTACCGAGCTCCTGATAAAGAGCAGCAGAGGGTGGTGTTGCCTGCAACTGCTCAGTAATCAAGTTCAGTAGGACAATGTTCTATACCATCCCTTAGTCTGGGAGTGCCTGGGAGGTGCCAGGGGGTGTGTGGCCCCTTCTCTGCTTCTGGTGCCCAGCACAGGACAGGACATGAATCCAGAAAACTGGGGTGGGGAGTCCTCATGGGTTAGGATGTATAAACATTGGCAGGAGAAGGGCCCCTGCTGTGTGATTGGTTCTAGTGAGGATTCATCAAGCTATTCATCGAGATGGACTTTTCTGAAATGAGGGAGGTACCACACTATCATTTTGTGACTAGAGTGTATGGGGGTGGGTCAAGGCATTCCCATTGGGTTAAGATCCTAGATTCATCCATGCCTTCAACTGACCCTAAATCTGACCTGTCCTGTGTCCTCATGCTGTGTGCCTGGCCCAGAAACTCTCAAACCCAGTTTGTCACATATCCTCACTTGTCTTCTGCACACCTCTTGCATGGAATGTAAATTCCTGCCCTATACCTCATTTGAGGTCACTGGGCAAGTCATTTCTCTTCCCAGGCATCAGGTTCTCAATCTGCATGTGATCGCAGACACCGCTTCCAAGGGAGGCCATGAGGCTCTGTGAGGGCATTTGGAAGACACCTGGCCTAAGGAGGAACTCATGGCACCCACTTCTCTCCATGCTTACCTCATGGACTCTCCCAGACATGTAGAAGAAACTGAAAACTGCCTGGAGCAGAGAGGACAAGATGTCTGGCCAAAATGGCCACCAGTTGCAGCATTATAACTGTTGCCAGTCAGGAATTTTGAGAGCCCCTGGTTCTGGAGCCATATCTTCCCTGAGCCCTGGATTCCTGTCATTCCTGAGTAGACACTTGGTAGGCATCTCTTCTCAACAGCTGCCTGTGGTCACTCTTAGTTTAGTCCTCTTCACACTGTGACTGGATCCTTCAGTCAAGTGCCTGGCTGGCTTTGCCCTGAATGCATCCTTGTACACCCGGTGCCACAGTCACTGGCACCTGAGTCCCTGGCCTCTCTGATGCAGACTCCACATTGCCATCTGCTGTCCTGGGGCACCCTAGACCTGCTCATACCTTTGCACAAGATCTTCCCTTGGCCTTCTCACTCTCCTCAGACCTGCTCAGAGCCTCATTGCTACATCGTTCTTAAAATGACGCTCACTAGCTATCTTTCCTCGGCCCTCTTTTTTTTTCTCCTCCACATATACTAATTCTACACTTTCTGGTATACATAATTTACTTAATAGTTACTTATATTTTCTTCCTCTCTACCTCCTGCCCTAGAATGTAACCCCCACACAGTTGTAAACGTTGTTTTAATGTGTTCTGTTCCTTGCTGAGCCCAGAGCATAGTAAGGCCTCAGTAAACTTTACTGAGGGAATGGATCAGTTTCCAAGAGTAGTGTCGGGTTGGGGGGGGAAAGCATTCTCATGTCTGCTCAGCAAGCTGAAGTCTGCTGCTGCCTCTGCCTCAGGCTGTGGTCATACTTAAACCTGTTCAGCATCTGGGTATGAGACTGTGGTGGTCTTGGGCCATAGCCAGAGATACAGGCAGGCTGGAGACATTAGAAACTAAGGATGGCTTCCCTGCCTGTCCCCAGGCACTTCCCAGGGGAAGATGGAAGACAGAGAAGCCCTGCATTGAGCCACCCCTACTGGCCCATCTGGAATTCAATCTCCCTTCATCTAAGTGCAAATTCAAGAGCCTGGTCTTTTGGGGATCCTAAGCAGACAGGGCAACCACACGATGGCTTGATAGTAGTTCTTACCTGCTGCATGACGTCCCGTCTCTGGTTCATAGCAGCCAGGCAGCGCAGAATCAGCTTCGTGGCCTCAGTCTTTCCAGAACCACTCTCCCCACTGGCCAAACACAGCACCAGAGCATCAGCTTTCCTCTGCCTTTCCATGTCCACTCCAATCCATGAGCCATACGGTGGCCCAGAGGTACCCAGTGCTCTTCCCAGGGCTCATAGTAGGCTCACATCTTACCATGTAGATGTCTGGATGCAAACCCACTACCCAAGGTGCCCCGATCTGTCCCACACCTGAGCACAGCTTGGCTCACCTGATGATGACACACTGGTTTTGTTTGGCATCAAGCATTTTGGCGAGGGCGAGATTAGCAATTGCAAAGAGGTGCCTGGTAAGACAGGGTACTAGGCATCACTGTCTCTGACAGTCAGTTCCCACTGTCCCAAGACTGCCAGGGGTTTGTGGGAGGGGTTTCTCTGTTTAGCCAAGCAGCCAGCACGGCCCACCTCTCACCCTCAGTCAGAGCTGTGGTGGCTTCTAGAGGAGACTGCCATGCCTGGGGAGAGACTG